TCCGCATGTATAGTATGTATATTATATATATCTATCTGCCGTGAGCGTTTGTATCTGTGAGTTTGCCTCAAGCAAATAGCGTGTTGGTTACACATTTGTGTGCCCGTTTTTGGCTCTGCACAAATATTTGAGAGAGCAGCGAGTCGCGTTTTGCAGCAGCTGAAAATATAACGTATACGCAACATTAGCATGCATACCTGTCCTGCCTCCTGCGTCCTTCGTCCTTCGCTCCCTGCCACCTATTTGTGTAGGTGGCATTGCTGCTGGTGCAGGATATGGGTGAGAACGCTTAATGCTTGACAGCGTGCATGACTTTGATATAGGCAAACTTTTGGCCCATTACAATAAATGCAAATGCTAAGCAAACAGGCAACACTTACTGCAAGAGTTGCCCCCGTTCGAAGGACCAACCGACTGGCAAGCCATAAAAATACACACAGGCGCAGACATAAAATTTATTTATTCAGCTTGCCAAAAATCCCACAGATAATAATTTCATTTACGCATTCCCACGAACTCTGCCGAAACCAAAACCGAGATGCCATAAAAATCAACAGAGTTGGCAAGAGCGATAAGTCTGCCATTATTCCATTGCCAGGTGAACAGGTGAACAAATCTCGGGTAGAAGATGAGTGGAGGTTGCCATTAAATTAGGCACAGCACGGCAGCTAGAAACAAAATCACAACGGGCACATACTCACATCAATTCAACTTTAACTACATAAAAAGTAATGTCATAGCAATGGCAGAGGTTTCACAGAGAGAAAATTATTTAGCCAAATTAGTTATAATTTTTACCTTCGGTAAATATAATAAATATTTTTCTGATTAAAGAAGTAATAATAAACTAATCAAACATTATCTTTAATCTTAGTATGCAACCTTAAATAGTTTAAATATTTTAAAAACTTTAATCTTATAATAGGTAAATTTAGTTAAATAGCTCGCTTTAAAACATTTTTGTTTCTGTATTACAAAATCTGTACACACAAGCACTCCTATTTGTATTTACTTTTTTATCATTGCCGCTCCAGCCATTTTCAGATTTTCCACTTACAATTATGCATAATACAGCGCTTATCGCCCACCGAATAGACCGCACAAGATGCCAACGTGGAGTGGGGCTATGTTCTACATATATATATCCATATACAGTATCATAATCATCTATTAGCAAGGCAAATCAGTGGATGGCCAACTCGATTCGCTCCAGCCAGCTTCAGGCGGCAGGACATAAGTGCAGCATCATTTCCGTTACATATAAATACACTTTTCTGGTTCAATTGCGGCTGTTGGCCATGACTTGGCCGGCATTGGCATCGCCATTGGAAGCAGAATCAGAACCGGGAATCGGCTGTGGATTTGGCCATGGGGATATGGGGATATGGGGCATCGATATCGGCATCTTCCGCACGGCAGTCAACAGTCAACGAGCGCAATTTAAACTTGTTACGTGCTTCCAGCATCGTCATGTTCGGCGTAATGAAATGTGGAACACAGATATACACACATGGACTATATATCCAGTATCAGCAGCTAGTCAGACACGGCAGCATTTTTCTGCCTGATTTGAGGATGCCGTCGTCTCTGGCCATCGAAGCGTGCCCTTTTATTACTATCCCATAGTCGTGGATACAGCCGAGTCATGCCTCGCCTCCAAGTATCCTCATGTGTTTATCTCGAGCTGGAAATTATGAATCCCCACTTACTCCAGGCCCTTTCATTGCCAAGAAATTGGCTTGTCTTTCGCCGTCATCGGAGATGATTGGAATTGTTTCAGTTACGACTCGCGCGGGACATTAAAATTTTTCATCTCTTAATCTGAATATTACATTCGTTTTTAGAACTTTCAGATAAAATATATAGTATTTTTTGGTGGTTTGAAATTTCCGTACGAAATTCATATCCATTTACGGACATTAGGCAAGCCCATATAAAAAGTAAATAAAATATAGAAGACACTTTTAATCTATTTTATTTGGTAAATTTAATTTGCATAAATGTTGATAAGTTTACAAATGTTAATATTTTAAAAACCTTAGATATTTCTGTGGACCTTATTTTTTAATATATATTTAAACCAAGTATTCTATTTGCAAGAAAAAAAAAATTCTTTAAGACTTTTTTTTATATTTAAGAAATTATTTTAGAATATTATTTAAAGTAAGCAAAAAATCACAATTGAGCGAAAAGCAAATTCATTTAACTACAGAAACCTTTGTGTTTGTGAATCACTCCCTCTTGCAGCCCCCACACATTGTTTTAACATTTCAATATGAATGCCAATAAATAACCAATTGAAGGCAAATAGTGCTGCAAAAAACAGCAAACCATATAATGGAATTTTTAAACTCGATTCCCAGGTACAATGGAGGGGATGGCCCCCTGCTCATGAGCATTCATTCATCAGTCCAATCAATCTGCTGGCGGATCGTTGGCAGAAGCAACCAATTTGAAATAAACTATGCACAGACACCTTGCTGCCAGTTTGGAAGCCACGGTTTTGGCCTGGTTTGTCCGTAAGTTAGTCCAATAAATTCCATTCGCCTTTCGCTAGGCCCTGATTGCCAGTCAGCCTTTGCAGCCTTTGATGATAAATTAAACCGTGTGTCTACCGCTCGAATTTATTATGCGCCAAAACGCCAAATGGCTGTCAGGAATCTCTCTTCCACACTTCTGCGGCCGCGAAACCTTTTAAACTTTAAATCCGCATCAATGCATCATCGGTGAAAGCCGTGCCAAAGTAACAAACTTTGCTTTTCTCTGCTCTGCCGCGCATTTCTGCTTGCGATTTTTTCACCGCCTTTCCCCGCCGCCATAAATTGCGAAAGTGGCTTTCCCGGGGAACTGGGAACTGGGTGCTAGGATCTCTGGCCTTTCTTCGCTGCAATCCTGTGCGGCTTGTTTATGCGCTTCACACGCCTGTCTTTACCTGGCGAATCCTGGCGAATCCTGCCGAGTCCTGCCTCCTTCCCTGCCTCCTCTCCTGCCCCCTGGCATATTGGTTATTAATGTTTATGGCCACACGCTGTCGTCGTTTGATCTGTGCCAGTTACTCGGCCAATGAAATTTATAATTTCATTTGGCGCCCATTACAATAATTCATAACGGAAGACACAACGGCCTTGAGTTCACTACGAAAATAAAAGGGGTAATACGGTTGGAGTTTTTGTTCTTGAAAACTGCTATGATTCTTAAATATTTATGCCAAAAGCAACAAACTTTTTGTTTTATGGCTTATTTTGTGATTTTTTAAAAGATTTTATTACTAGCCTTGGACAGTTAATTAAAATCTTTACAATCCACCAGAGAATATGTCAGCTCCAGACTTCCTAAAATATTTTCACAAAGTGTAGTGGTATCACTTATATTTGGATTCCGAGGGCTTACTTTCGATTTAGGCAGATTTGATATTGCTCTATTTGCATGTCGAGCTTTATTGCTTTTATATTGGCTCATATTTCGTGTTTTGTATACCCAGTTGAATTTTTGGGACAGGATACCAGAGAAGGGATGCTGAGTCGACTGAGTCGGGAAGGACACAGGTTGTAAATTGCGACAGGCTGCCAGCGGGGCCTTAAATTTCAATATGGGATTTATGTCATCGAATGACCGACACGACCACGCCCCCTCCTCCAATCCAACCGCCCCCAAGTGCGGGTGTGTAGAGCCGAAAATTAATGGCGTAATTGAAACCGGAAACTGCAACGTTTTGTGGTGAATTTTAATAAAGTTTCGCCTTTGTCCATAGTTATTTATTGACAAATAGCAGATAATTTGATTTTGTGCCAATATTTAAAAACAATGCGACACACACGAGGTCGCAAAGGTCCTGGGAATGGATGCAGATTAAGGACCTGCAGGCAATTTATGTAATCATATTCTGGTTTTACCCGATTCATAGTTTTTTATTACTCGTAGATAAAATACAATCTCGAAATAAACAGAAAAGTTCCGACCCATAAATATAATTTATCAGATACTACGATCATCTAGCATGTCCGTCTGTCCGTCTCCGTCTGTCTGTCCTCCGATGACCTGAATCCGAACTATGGGCTACTTGAATTGCGTGCAGATTCCTGACTTCTACGCAGCAAGTTGTTTCAGCACAGGCACGCCCACTCTAACGCCCACAAACCGCCCAAAACTGTGGCTCCTACAGTTTTGATACTAGAATAAAAATTTAGCTGAAATGTATTGTTCTCATCAATACCTATCGATTGATCCAAAAAAAAGTTTGCCACGCCCACTTTAACGCCTACAAACCGCGAAAACCTGTGACGCCCACAATTTTCATGCTAGATAAAAAATTTTAACTGAAATGTATTGGTCTCGTCAATACCTATCGATTGATCCAAAAAGAAATTTGCCACGCTCACTCTAACTCCCACAAACCGCGAAAACCTGTGACGCCCAAAATTGTTATGCTAGATAAAAAATTTTAACTGAAATGTATTGGTCTCGACAATACCTATCGATTGGTCCAAAAAAAAATTTGCCACGCCCACTCTAACGCCCATAACGCTTAAATCTGTATACCGCCGGTAGGTGGCGCATTTTAATCTCGCTTTGCTGCTTGCATATCTCCATTTAGCTGAGTAACGGGTATCTGATAGTCGAGTACTCGACTATAGCTTCCTTGTTTTCACTGCAAAGTCAAAGGTTAGGCTGTAATTGGATACAATTTCAGCGGTCGTAACGGGTTATATAGAAATAGTTTTTGGGAAAATGGGAAACTAAGTAGGATGTGTGATGAAATTATAAATTGAGTTTTCAGCGGCACCCTTTTCACACTTTTTCCAATCATCTGCGGTCAACGACAAAGTTAAATTTAATAAACGATGATTAAAATCTATCGATTAATAATCAAATTTTGTAATAGTATGTTTTAATGTCAGGAAATTCAATAAATCTAGTTTGTAAATGAACAGGTGGACACTCGCCGAATGTTATTTGGTTTTTAAAATAAAATATAAAATGGTCTATTCCTTTAATATGACTAAATAATGGCCCAGAGAAATCAAATGATGTCAGAGTAGGTAGTAGTATTTTCCTCTACTTTTATTCAACTTAATTTTTCCTAAAATAAAATCCACATTATTTTTCCACAGCAAGACATTAAATAAAGGACAACTAATCAAAGCTTAAGGAAGCAGATATGAAGAGGGGACTGATAAGACATAAGCTTTAGTAACAGTCCGAGTTTAAGCAACCATTCCCTGAGGAATGCAAAAACTGTCAGCATTTAGTGATGAGTATGATGATGTTTTTATAACCCAAAATTGTCAACTACACTACACACAGACACGAGTTCACGCACAAGTTTGATTCGATGGCAGCCAATAAATGGAAAAGGTCCGAATTGATATGTGTGTGTGGTGTGTCCTGTCTGGGGACCAGATTAACCATCCTATCCGCTGGTCAGAGACCATAAAAGCCTATTAGATAACAGCAAAAAGCTAAAAGAAACTACCCAATAGCAACAGTAAGAACACAACATTACACTTAAGAAAAAGGAAACTTCTATATCTCGGCTTAAGATGGTGCATACGTAAATAATATTTTTTCTGAAGAGGTGTACAAATATAAGTACAAGAACTAAAAACCTTTATGTGAAAAAGTTAGGATTTATGGTATAGCAGGTCTGGAGATATGATAATATCCACTTCCAGCGCGATTGGTAGAATCCAGTCGGTATAGGTCCTTACATCGGTGTATGTGTCCTGATTTGTCGTAGAATTATGATAGCTCAGAATTCCCTTTTGAAGAAAAATTCCGTCATTGAAATGGTAATCAGGACTTCCCTTTTCAATGGGCTCGGGAAATAAATTAACTTCTTGTTTTTGCTTGGCAAGGCTTCGAAAATGTAATATAGCCCAAGCTTTTTTATGCCACGGACATTCCACTTTTTTAGGCAATTTTTGATCTTCTCTGCTGATCTCATAGGTAGATACTTCTGAGTTTGGTTCCACATTTACGATAATGCATATAGGTTGTATATGAATCTGATATTCGACATTCGTTTTCAATCTGAGCAGAGCTATATCATTTTGTTCTGGTGACCTGTGCACTATCGCTTTCGCTACAATGTTATCTTCGTATGTGCTGTTTAAATTTTTTTCTCCCAAGCGAACGATGCTGTTATGGGTATATTATGGTATACATTTTTCGATTAATATATACTTAGGTATTTACTTACAGTTGGTTCCTCTTTTTATGCAACTCGCAGCTGTCAGGACATACCCTAAATATTCACAAAAATTATTTTCCAAAATATATAATTTCTTAAAGTACTAACGTTCGTTGATAAGCGTGCCAGCGCAGATGAATTCAGAATTTGTTGTATTTCGAATTGTAACCAGCCAAGGATGGGGAATGAAGACAGTCTGATTTTTTCCACAATTCTTCTCTACAAATTGAGCTGAACCCTGATAGACGAGCAGCAGAGTGCAAAAAGCAAACCAGAGTGCGGCACTCATAATTTATACTAAAAGATATTTTTTAATAAGTAAAACGAAATGTCACTCGGAATGGATTCGAGGCGGCAATCTGTGCCCTTATCTTTAAAAAAATGCTTATACGGGCTTCTGAAACTTTGTGTATGTACGTGGTTGGGTTTAATATAAATAGGCTGATTCATAATTTTTAACATATATGTTATCAAAATAAAATTATTTTCATAAACTGAATAACAGCTCTCCTCTTACCATTTTCGGGAAAAAACGTTGGGTTTTGTTTTTGCAAAAATTATATTATTGATATTTATATTAAATTAAGAACAATAAGCTATTTGGTATTAATTGTATCATATATTTTTTTTAATAATTTAATACAATATCAAAATCTAGAGCGCGTGGTACAATCCAATCGGCATAGACCAAAACATTTGTGTAAACGAAGGCATATGTTGTAGCATTTCGATAGCTTAGGATTCCGTGTTGGACTTTTTGGGATTTGGATGGTATGCTCAGAGGATTGCCAATGACCTGCATGGTAAACCCCACATGACGAGTCAAATGATTTTGGTATGGACTTTGTCCCGGACCACAACTTAGACAATATTGATTTAGGCCAAATCTGTTCTGGATTTACTACAATGCATATCGGTTTTATATGTTGCTTGTACTCGACATCCGTCTGTAACCTAAGCAAACCTATATCATTTTGATGAGTGCTTGATAAATATGATTCGTGAACATGGACCATATAGCATCGATTTTTTCATAACTATTATTTTCCAAGGATCTGTCGCACTTTCCCAAACAAACAAACCTGTTAACAAAAGTCTAGTTAAAATTGGTTGAATATGTAATGTCTAAGCTTGACTTACAATTCGTGTTGGTTGACTAAGCAACTCGCTGTCGTCAGAACATATCCTTCAAGTAAGATCCACTGCCATTAAAATCTTTTGCAAAAATTCCATTCAAACTTACGTTTGTTAATAAGTGTTCCAGTACATTGAACTTAGTGTTAATCCTACTTTGAATAATAGCTAGCCAAGGAGAGAGATTTACCGATGAGTCAGCGACTCCACAATTTTTCTCCAAAAATATGGCGATCCCTGATGGAACACCACCAAAGAACATATAGCTATCCACTGTGCGCCAATCATCATTCCGAATGAAAATACAATGCATAACTAAAATTTAAGAAGCGACTTTACTCAGAGAATCTTTTTTGAATCCCTTATCAGCTTTTTATAAAGCTGGTCTTTCCCGTTATTATGCACAACACAGCAAAGATAAGCTTTAGAGTCGTGAATTCCCATGAATTCCCTTTTTAAAAACAAATATAGTTGTCAATAAATTTTAACACATGTGTTTATTTTTAATGTTCTTGTTAGGAATTTGGAAAAAGAACAGAAACTTCTAAAACCATTGATGCTATCCAGTCGACATAGGCAAAACATTGGTGTAAGTGTCAGCATATGTTTCTGCATTACGATAACTGAGGATTCCGTGTTGTATGTATCGTTCCAAAGGTCCATAAAAGATTTTTTATTCCAGGGACTCCCAATTTGCTTTGATGCCAAATATTTCTCCCTCATTCGTCAGCACATCCGTTACCAAAATATGATTTAAACTTGCACCAATCACCTACTTCAGGCTTTTTGTTAAATTTTTCAAAGGTAAAACCGTTGGCTTGGCCGTCAGGATTTTTTGTAATGCATATCGGTCGTATATTGGCACTATATTCCACTATAGTATCCAATTTAATCAAACCTATATTATTCTCATTGTGATTTCGGAATATGACCTGTGAATGTAGGCCTTTGATACAGGGAAATTTTGAAACCTGTCCCCATCATTGCTATTTCCCAAGCGAACAATGCTATACAAAAAATTATTTACATTCTGTTTAGGTAATTAATGTATTCAAAACTTACAATTCTTTTTTCTTTTTTATACAGCTTGCAGCAGTCAGAACATACTCTAAGAAATAAAAGCATTTTATTATATATCCATTATATAAATTCTGTATGGAATACAAACGGTTGGTAATCAAAGTGCCAGAGCAAATTATTTTGAAAGGCGTTCGAATTTCGGCCAACCAAGGAGAGGAGGATGACCCGTCATAAGGATTCGAAAAACCGCAACTCTCGTCTAGAAATTGGGCGATCCCTGATGAACCAGCAAAAATTGCAGAGTACTATCCATGTACAGTGCTCATCTTTCAAGCGAAAATCCTATAGCAACTGATTTTATGTAGCGAGCTGAGCTCGAATTCAAATTTATATACTGACGCTGATAAGCGTAAACTTTGCGAGTGTTATTATTATTCAAAAAAAAATGATTTAACATAGTCTTTTATTTTCTTTCTCAGCATGAATCACATTTCGATCGTTTATAATTTGACATTTTGGGTTTGCTGGGAAGGAAGTTCCATGACTTTTCTTTCGTATATTTTCTCTCCATGTACCATGGCAAAACTAGAATCAGAAACTGGACGAGTGGCAGCTTCAAGCCGAAGTCAACGCCCACGACTCGGGCCCGCAATGAATTATGACTTTAATTTCAATTTCAGTCTGGGTCCAGCATATGTGTCGTCCTTTGGATGTCCATCCCCTTTCTCTCTGGCAAACCACCTGCCAGTTAGCATTGGCCATAATTCTAAAGTCAGTGACGGATCATAAATTCGAAACTTTTCTGCCAAACGGCGGCGGCACAAACAACAAAAGCAACAACAAGGGTTCAAGATGAGCGACATAAGATGATCCATGGGAACCATCGACGGTCAATGACGAAAGCATCAAACGCAAAAACCGATTGCCATCATATTGAAAATATTGAGTTCAACACTCGAGAAGGTTGAAAATATGGGTCAAAGCCGACTGCAGAATACTCTGTTACGAACTTAGTTGAGTAAATTATAATATATATATTATATTAAAGTATATTAGAACAAAAAAAAAAGTAAAAAAGAGATCGAATATAAAAACATAGATTTTTATTTAAAGTACATATAGGGTATTTGTATTTCGTATAATACTGTTGCTAAATATTACTAATATATAATACGGTGTTTTAATCAATAAAGAAGAAAATTAAAATGGTAAGCTTCTTTTATCTTAGAAACAAGTACTGTACTTGACATAAAGAATTTTCCTTTTCTCCCACTAATTTTTCAGGAAGTATGAATAAATAAGAATGTGAATAAAATTGGTAAGGCTTTTATAAGATTTTCCATTGCATAATGTATGCAAAACGTAATATCAAGTATAAAGGAACACCAGACCTATGGTTTTCCTTTTTCCCATGCGGAATTTCCAGAAGGTAGGACCTTGAATCTAAAAGAGTATGGGAAAAGAGCGTTTGTCAGCAAAAGAATAACAACGACAGGCAAAGCAACTGCAAATTACACTTGAATGGAACACTGGGCAGTGGGAAAAGGGAAAATGGGAAAAGCGGGGGCGGAAAGGGCAAGAGCAAAAGGTAAACGACAAGAATACGATTGGAAAACGATTTTCATTTCTGCAGCTAATATGAGCGACAAATCTAAGTAAAGTGGGTCGAAGTGGGCGTGGCTATTACACACACACACACACTCACACACACAGGGGGACTCACCATGCAAAGGGACAATTTCGAAATCAATATTTATGACTGCCCCAGCAGATTTATTGCAACTGGCGAAGAGGGTTCGAATTTTGCCTCGTTCTAGTTGAATTCTTTTCTCCATTTTCGTCCTTTATTTTTTCTTTTTTTGCTCATTGCTTCTGTTGCTTTTTGCCGAGCTCACAAAATAATAATATCCCGTGTTTGATTTTCGTATGCAAGCGCATATCTATTTATTGTCTCGGTGTATTTGTGCATTGCTTCGTTTATGACACTGCAGCATTTGATGATTTATGCATTTTAAACAAAATGTCAGCAAATGGACGTATATAAAGGAGCTGGCATTTTTTTTATGCCTTCCTACATTTTTCGTATTTCCTTCTCCGGCAAAATGATCAAAGAAATTCCAGTTGCCAATGCATTCGGTTGCTATACTGCTGCAACTGCAACTGCATTCAATTAACACACATACACGCAGTGCGCCTTTGGCGACCACGCCCCCTTCTACTGCACAGAGAAAATAACAGGAGACTATTTTATTATTTAGTTATTTAATTTAGTAATTCTTTCCAATTATGTTAAAATTGAGTCAAAAGATAAAATTGATTGATAAGCATTTTGGAATATCTTGTTCATAAGTGATCAAGTATTTGGTATTCATATTCATTTTTTAGATAATTTAATATTAATTCCAATTTGCCTTTAAGAGAAATGTAAAAGGATTACATATTTGTATAAGCTAACAACATTCCATAATCTTTAATCTTTAATCTTTCCCAATTATTTAAGACATTTTCTACTTCTTTCATAGGATTTATAGGTTAAACAAGGTGTTTTTTTCACATCCTATCTATAATTTGTATCTCAAAAACAAAGAAAAGCTTTTGTAAATGCAAAATTATTTTAGAAATATTAATTTCTGTGTATCTGTGTAATTCCATTTGTTGGTCTCGAGCTTTGTTGATGCTGCCAGCCAAGCACAACTTCAATTGAATTATGAATTTCAAATTTCAATTCTACTTCTTTGGCTGCAACGGCAACAATAACAAATGCATAAACAAACAGTAATTGCTACCTAGCCAAAGTGAGTGAAAGGCCTCAAAGCGCATTTGTTTGCGCTCTCCATCGTTCGTTTGGTTCGGGTTTTGGTTTGGTTTTTGGTCCAACAGACGTTGAAATGTAAAACTACCCACCTCGCTTTGGCCTCCCCCCTTTCTGGTAGCCTAATGTCCATCAAGGTTTTAAGCTGTTTGTCAGCCACAAACACACTGACGGCCAGACAAACACACGGACACAGGGATTTGGCTCATAAAAAGGCCTAAACATTGCATCAATTCATCAAAAGGGCAGAATGGAGAAGGAAAGGAGCAGACTTCTCTCCGACATCTGTCATCGCCAGAAGACCGAGAAAGGAACGGGAAGAGGGGCCCATGATCAACATAGTCGATTTCAATTAGGACCTGCATTTGGATTTTGGCCTGGCATCGAATGATTTCTGTCTGCTATTTAAGGTGGACCAAGCTTAGATAATATTATATACTACGAAGTGGAACTTCATAATATGAATCAAAATGTATGGTATATTAAAATAGATAATCCTAAACATTAGATAAAGAATGTAAAAATAATGTGTTTTTTTTGTAGAAGCATTACAATATTTTGGATACCAAAATTATAAATAAAATAAATAATGGGGAATGTGGAATGATCCATTTTATATTTTAGACTCCTATAAAAGTATCTTAAATATGGTTTTGCATACAAATATATTTTTATTCATTGGTCTTGCATCCGAAAATATAAATATTTAAGACCAATATGATATCGCAACTAAAGGTCCACCCTATTGAACACTTGCCTTCATCTGTAGCAAGGATTCTGATTACGCTTCTGTTTTTGTTTAATTTCGAGTATAATATTTGACATGATTGCTACTTTCGGATTTCGATATATCCTGTACAAACAGAAAGGCATCGAAAATCATATTAATTTGCCAGCTAGTACACACATGGGCATAATACGGTTGGAGATGCCAGGGATGAGCCGAGAACTCAGCCTCTTGACGATGCAGCCAGTTCAGTTCGCCTGTGAACTCTGACCGGGCCTAATGAGCCGCATTTAATGAGCCGCAAACACGATAAACATGCAACCGAAACGGCAACAGCGGCAGATTGATGTACACCATCCTGGCCAGGCCGCATCCCCATCACCCCATCAACCTCATCACAGGTAACATCATACGTACATGCGCATGCCACCCACATCAGAATTTGTCTCGCGGCGCTTTTATCAACTTTCGCGAACAAGCCGCGCCCACACACACACACACATACACGAAAAATTGATGGTGGCAGGGGGGGGGAGCATGAGGTCCTTGCTCAGGATTCGACATTTCATTAACAGGACACAGCCTGGAACAGAAAACGCCAGAGGCCTTTCCTGGTAGTTAGCGCTAACAATGTGGCTTGATGCGGCCAACTTTGAATGTTAGTCGGTGGAGGAGCATGAAACGAGCACTAAGTGCCCAGAATTCAAGTTTAAAGTGGAGCAGAAGGGCATTTACTATAATTTGTGAATGCAAGTTAAAAAGTTTCCGGTACAAAACCTAAGTAAATGCGGACTAGATTAGATTCAGATAGAATCAGAGGAGAATCTGATTCAAAATCCTTTTTAAAAAAGTTGTATATATTAAGGGGAAGAGGGAAAGGAGCTAAGAGTGATTTTTAAAACATTAAATTTAGCTTTTAACTTAGTTTTGAGATATACATAGTTTTCACCTTTAAAGGATTTTGAATCATTGTCCGATTTCTAGCCATTAAAACGATGTATTATTTTATATCAGCCTTTTTGATTTTTAAAATAAAACATTGTTCTTATTTCAGATATAAAATATTAGCTATCTTTACCCTTATTGGAATTTAAACATTTAATTTTTTCTAACTCAACCCATCAACCTAAACAAAGTTTAGATGCCAACCGAACCTCCTCCTATTTTCGAAACCCTTTTGAGGAGAACTTTTAATTTTTTCACCACAATCAGCTTATGCTTTTAACTATGCTCAATTAGGGAACCTAATCAGCATCCCTAGACCCCCGTCGAGAAGGTCAAAGGCAGCTTTCAGTCCGATTCTCCGAAGGCCCCCTAAGTGAAGAGTGAAAAGCGCAGCTCTGCGATGAAGTATGGCACGAATAATTGTTTTATTGCCCACACAGCCAAATATTTATGCCTAATTGGGTGCCAATTAGGCACTGCCGGCCACCACTTTGTGTAGATCCCCTTTATACCTCCACTTGGCACCCTTCATACCGTTTTGTTTAAACTTTTTATTTTGCGGAAAAGTTCGGCGTCGGCCAAAGCGAAGACAAACGAGGGACGAAAAGCGAAAACTTAATTAAACTGTCAATTGGTTTCTAATGAATGAATGCAAAGATGAATGAGTAATGAAGCTAATTATGAACGGCAAATACGTCAAAGTAGCCATAACCCATACATAGAATTACACCCAGCAGCGGGGGGTGTACATTATGTACTTTATGTGCTGGTATTTTAATTAATTCATGCTTAAATTGTCGGCACATGGCGGGTTCTTAATAGACGCTCTTTGGGTCGCCCATCTTAACTCTTTC